TTTTCAACTGGTCAGGCCTCGGGACCCACTTTTTCCTTTGTCAATAAATCGCGACCCGAAATTTTGAACCACTGAAATCTATTCAACAAAAAATGGTGCAGTAATATATACTCTTTGCAGCATACAATATTAATGAAAGTGAAGTACAGTGCATATATCCCTTCACAGAACTAAAGTGTGCTTTAAAAGAGGTTTAATGAGACGATGGAATTAAAGCTGAACTGTATAACATAAAAAGGCAGACATGCTGAAAACCCAACCCCAGCAGGGGGGTCTGGGGGGATTCTCCCCCAGGAGATTTTTAGAAATACTAACATAAACTATGCATTCTGGTACACTCTGAGAAGAAAATAAATTAATCTATTATCTAACCGACATATTAATAATATTTTATGCCATTGTTTGTTTTTCACTTTGTTCTGACATCTTGCCGCGAGGAGAGTAAAGAGGAGATAGTCTGTGTGACTTACTTTAAATTGTGGGTAAGGGTAGATAGCCCCCATTGTTCTCTGACCTGTCAATCATCAAACCGGGGGTCATATTTCATTATGTGTTCATTTGTATCTGAAGTTGTACCCATTGATGTATTAAAGAATAGTTCTACCGCAAAGTTATTCTCCGTGGGGACTTCCGGCAACAATCTTGATTCTGATTGGCCAGAAGACTCGAAAAACATCAGCAAAGATATTTTATTGAGAAGATGATCACTACGTGACAGAAGTTTTCAAAACCGTTTATGGTCTCTGGTACTTCCAGTCCAACGCCTACTGCATGCACAGCGTTAGAAAACCGGGCCTTCAAAATAAAAGTTAGACTTTAAAAAAAAAAAAAATTCTTCACTCACACATCTGCGACCCTCTCGAAACGGGTCCGCGACCCACCAGTTGAGAACCACTGGTCTAAATTATATTCCCCTTAATTTCCCAAAAGTAGAAATGGGTCCGGGTTCTTATGGGTTAAACTAGCATTAACTTTAAGTGTAGGCCTGTGCTTCACATATTCCCAAAAAACACACAGTGAAAAAGGATGTTGAAACTCGAGCTAAGCTCCCCTGGTCGATATTATCGCTGTTGTAAATCTGTCAACTCTTTGGGAGTGTGTTGTTTTGTAGGTGGATTGAGGGTAACTGTTATGTTTAATAATGCATGGATATTGCTTTTTCTTCTTTACTTGTATCTTTCTGCCAGGGAGTGCCATTCCCCCAGAATGAGGCCAACGCCATGGATGTGGTGATCCAGTATGCAGTGCACCGGCTGGGCTTCCAGCTCTCCGACATAGTGGTGTACGCCTGGTCCATAGGAGGGTTCACAGGTAAACACACAACAACCATACATGAAGAGCACTTTGATATAGACTTGTGATAAAGAGTGGTGCAGGAATGAGTCCTAAAAAAACGAAGCATTATATCCGGTTCACTCTTGAACATGTTTTTGGTTAGATACCTGACATAGGTGATTCAAACAAACTAAAGAGTTCTTCAGGTTTATTCTATGACAAATACGTCAGTAAATACCTCACTTGTGAATATCCGAAATTTCTGTGTGTCAAAATTAGACTACCAAACTTCATCCAAAGAACTTTAGCCGCCGTTAGCTTAGCGGTGGTGGTGTGCAACCATGCGAGTGTGATGTAGTTCCTTTATAGACCAAGTTAGATTTCACTTATGGCGATTCAATTAACTCTTGAGGAGATTATCAAACGTTTTTCTTACCACAGAACTTATTTTCTGCTGTTAACTAATATTTAAATGAGTATCCCACTGCATTTGGTAAACGCTAACTTCCGGTGAGACTTGCAAAAGTCCGTCCTCGCTGGCACCACATATCTTTCTGATTCTGATCATCCTGTAATCTTCATTGTGTCTATCTCTCTGTTTCCTGTCACAGCCAGTTGGGCAGTGATGTCATACCCAGAGATCCAATCAGTGGTGCTCGACGCCTCCTTCGATGACCTCCTGCCTCTTGCCCTCAAGGTCATGCCCGCCAGCTGGAGTGAGTCTAAGGGGTTAAAGGTCATACACTGTATCATTCGTTTGCAATAGGTGGATTTGTTTTAACAACTGAAATGCCTTCTCTCAGAACCGTTGGTACAGCACGCAGTGAGGCAGTACATGAACCTCAACAACGCTGATCAGCTTCTCAAGTGAGTCACTTCCAAGTCACTCATCGTGAAACATTACACAACTTATTGGATTGTAATTGTGAAACTAACCTTTGCAGTGGCAGGCGTAGCTCGATTAACACGACTCCTTCTCTTCCTCCAGATATCAGGGACCGGTCCTGCTGATCAGGAGAACCAGAGATGAGATCATCACCACAACGTGAGTCCATCTTTAAATGTCACAGTGTTGAGTAGAGCCAGTGCGCTTTCCATTGGGTTTACACAGGCGTCCTGTAAGATACAAATGCTTTGAATAGGATGTTAAATTAGGGCATTGCAACAGCTTTGTTAAGATGTTATCAAAAGTTATTTCACAATTTAAGATTCTATGAAATGAAGAAAAAACACTAGGCCTCGACCACTGGGACTCAAATGTTGTTCCCAAATACAATTGGACTTCAAATGTCCATCTTTCACCAAACTACTACCAGCTTATTGGCCTTGTCATCTCAAAACACTGTTCATTCAGAAACAAAACCATCTTTCCACTTCTCCAACAATCACCAGCTCTGGTTTGGTCAGAAAAACAGTAACCCCTCTATTCACAAGATTAACTCAAAATATGGCCGACTCTTTTCTCTCTCTCTCTCTCTCTCTCTCTCTCTCTCTCTCTCTTACATCTTTGAAGAAAGGCCAATTAAT